TAGTGCATGCACAGGGGAAATACAATACTATTCTGAGCTCCTGAAAAAAAACATTGCTAGGTATGCTGTGAAATTATGGTTATGTATAGGCTCTGCAGCAGGGGACTGGTGCAACAAGGTGTGACTGCATGGAGTCATGAGGACGCAGGAGCGCAAGTGGGGTACTAACTAAAACCAAACTGGTTATTATTCCTCTTTTATTTTTAGCTAAACAAAAAAACTGGGGCTTGCTTGACTCCGTTTTTAAACTCAATATTTCTTTTCAATACACTGAAGTGTTAAGTGTTGTTACTTTGATACATACCACCTCCAGTGTGCTGCAGCTGCTGGTCACTCTCTGGCTCTTCGGACTCTGGCTGAACAGCAGCTAAGCTCTGATTCTGTACTGGGATTTGCCCAGTTGTCTGGGGAACATAAGAAACGCCCTGCGATTGAGGAGTGTTGTAGTTAGACGTCTGAAGGCCCTGTTGAGCTGCCGGTTGGACAGACATCTGTGAGCTGTGTTGGTTAGGCTGTGGAGGCATGTAAGATGCATGCTGTGAAACGGGCTGTGACTGAGTCGCCTCCATGCCAGACTGTTGGCCTGTTTGCTGTGATTGCTGTTCTTCTTCAAGCCTTCTCTTCTCCTGATCTTCTCTGACCTTTAAAGACAGGAGAGAACACATAAAATCACCCAGAAGAACCCCACCTTGAAAACACTAAAGCATATCACCTAGATCATGTGGCTGAGATTAAAAAAACAAAAAAACAAAAACAAAAACAAAAAACTAACAAAACCATGCACGTAAACAGTGACCATAACAGTAGATGGGCTACGATCATACCTGCTTCCGCTGAGCCCTCTTAAGATTGATTAGAGAAACTCTGTCTTTTATGGCTTTCGCAATGGTCTTGTGGTCACCTTCACACACATAACCAGAGTCAACCTATAACAAAAATGCGACAAAAGGTTCATCAGTAAACGTTTAAAAACTGCAAACAAACATATTGTTTGTCATGCACCAACACAATTAGTCTGCCTAGAACATTAAAGCTCAATTCACCATTTCCTGAGCCACATCCTCTGGAACATCTTTGATGAGGTCAAAAGAAAACTCAATGGCTTCGCTGTCTTTGTACTTCCCCTTGAGTTTTTTTACATCCTCAATTCTCAACCACAGCTTAATAGCTTGCATCTCTCCATCCTCCTCTTCTGCCAGCTCCACACGCACGCCTGTATCCTCCTGGAAGAAGGCATGGTTCAGCAAGTCCTTGATCGAGTACCTAGACAAATGAAACAAGCAGTGAGCAAAAAGACATTTTTGTAGCGAGGCAGACCACCCTGAACTTGCTCAGTAAGAGACCTCTCATCCTTGTTCTGACGAATACATCCCTCGATGATCTCCTTCACTTCAGGAATGGCCACCTTGTCAAAGCTGCCTGGCTTCACCCCCTAAAGGAAACACAGAACTCTGAATGAGAATGATTGTCTTCATCGCATCTTTTCTTATACTTGATAATGCCCCATACCTTGTTCTGTTTTTCAGTTCAGAGACCTGATATCACTACTAAAAACAGTTGGCATTTGAAGTGACAAACATCTTAACCCAACTTCCCCTTTCACATTCTTGACAAAGAATGTGAAGAGGAAGAAATTCTTTCTGCCTGGAAAGTTAAAAGAACCCCGTTTGGAATTTTCAACAACAGCTTTTAATAATGCGTCTTTTGTTTGGTTTTTTTTCCATTTCAAAATTTATTTAAAAAAAAGAATTATTGAAATGTCATCCAATCTTTCCTCATTGATAAATTTAAGTTTTACAAGTTATACTTCCCACATTCCATTTGTGCCTTAAAAACAATAAACTTGGTATTATATGCAACGTAGGTGTACAATCTCAACACTGGTGTGAGATGCCTGCTGGGCAAGCAATAGCTTTTAAAATATTTCTAATGTCATACTGCTAGCCTGCAGACTCACTTGCCTTTAAGCTCTGAATTTAGCTGAGCTCAGAGAAATCTTTTCCTTTTTAAAGAAGAGCATGAACATGCAGATACTTTACTATGTTCAGAAAAGGTCAAACATCAAAAATAGGGGGTACTGACCAAGATGCACTTTCTAGTGGAAGGGGAAATATAAGTGGTTGGAAGAAACAGTGCATAAGAATGTAATGGACGGCTGATGAAAGGCGATGAATTGAAGCCATGACAAATGAAAGTGCTGGAAAATTTAAGACTGAACTGAGCAGTTGAGTTAAAAGCCAGAAAAAAAAGAAAAAAAGTCAATTTTTCCTGCAGTTAACAATACAGCCAGAGCATGTGACACTACATCCTTAAAAGCTTTTATAACTTCAATGACTCAGCGTAGCACAGGGGTAAATGTCAAAGAACATGCTCTGTTCAATGGCGTGGAAAGACCATTTTTAGTTTGTGGTTAATGATAAACTGAAGGTATTGCTATAGACTTCAAAAGAAATTTTATAGCTAGCACTCTCAGAGTGAGTTCAACTGCTTTATCTCCAAGTGTCCAGTGATTGCATGAAAATGAATCATCGGTGACTGCGGATTGCCATCTATTAGTATGATCCGTATGAATAAACAAACAGTCACTGGCCCTCGGGGATCATACAAGACTCATGCTGGTTATTCAGAAAATAGCAGGTCTGAACTTGTTTAGTGTTATATTAGTTAACTCTAATGGCTTAATTAACATACAGGAAAGAAGGAAGACAAGGGAGGATTATTAGGATTAAAAGCTTTTGTTCTTTTTAAACTTGTAGGTTCTTCAAACAGAATAAGAAGATAAATATTATTATCAGAGCAGAAGAAATAAAAGTAATGCAAACTAAAGACATGTCAGCAGGAACATGAAATGATTCCAGAAGTGGACATTAGCCTTCTTGGCACACAGGAAGAGGTGAAGGCAGGGCAGAGGGGTGACTGGAGGGTTGAAAAGACGACTTACGCTGGTAACTCTGCGGTAGATCTGTGCAGCATTCTGGCACTCTGAGTAAGGGTACTCTGAGGTGGCCATCTCCAGCATGCACATTCCAAAGGCATACACATCCACTGACTCGTCGTACTTCTCCTCATACATCTCAGGCGCCATGAACTCAGGGGTACCTTAAATCAGAACAACTATTCAGAACTCCCTTACTGATTGAGTGGGCTTCTCACAACCCATTGCTCCTCTGCTCCTCTAACCCATGAGGGGTTGAGGAAGAGGAGGATGAGAAGATTGACCAGCCTGTTGAAATCCCCTGGAGTAGAACCTGTGAGATGAAAGTTGGAAGAAAGAGGAAAAAGAAAAGAAAAAAGGGGGAGGAAAGCAAAAAAGAGAGAAAACAAAAAAGGAGGGAGAAGCTGGGCTCAGTTAGACTGTTGAAAAGAAGGCACGTGTTTGTCTGTGTAAGACCTTAACATGTTGGGATATACACGTGTAGCTGAGATGACCAATGTGCAGGACACACTGGTTAGCCTGAATAAATAACATTGCACCATTCAAATATTACCTCTAAAATGAACCACTCAGGAATAATACCCATGCCGAAATAAAGTGGAATTTGTTCACAGTAATGCCAATTGACCCTGTAATGTAAACAGGACTAGCTATGGAAATAACTTTTGTCAAGACCTTACCTTACAGCCACAATAACATTCCCTTTTATAGTACACCCACCTTTCGGTGTCTGACTTACCATTTCATCTTCCCCTGCAGGAAGAAAGTGTTATGGTCAAGGCTGAGAGAAGCAGATCCCATAGCTAGTAACAGTGCTCAACAGTGTGTCCGTGCACATAAGCCTTTTTATATTAGTAGATTATTTTATATTCAATCTCAGGTCTTACACAGAAAAACTCATTTGGTTATTTGAATGTATTTTTCTGATATTGATGCGTATGACAGCACACTGTCAGACTTACCAGGCCCATAAAAGATCATACTTACTCAATGAACAGCAGTACCCTATTCATTCCAAACAGCAGAATGGGGCACAGCTGAGGCTAGAGCCTACATTTTAAAAGCATACCCAAGACTGTGAAAGGGAAAAGAAAAAGAAAAGAAACAAAACAAAACAAAAGAAAAGAAAAGAAAACAAAAAAAACCTGCAAAATGCTGACAGAGAGAAAGTGGGGAGAGCTCCCTGGACACAAAGATGGAGCAAAAAGATTCTGCAGTCCTGCAAATATTTTCAAAAACATCAAGAGACAAACACTTAAAAAAATAAAATAAAAATAAAAAACCTGTTGAGGCAAAAACTATAGAAAGAGATGTTAAACATCATTGGTAAAACTGGCAAACAGACCACATATTTCCAAACCACAGAACAAAGACCAGTCTAAGACAGAAGCAAAGGCCATACCTTTTGCCATGGCCAGGTTAGCCTGCAAGAAGGCACGACAACTACCATAATATTAATATTTAACAGTAGTAGAAATGTTAGGCGCTACTTACATTCAGTAGATGCCTGGAAAAAAAACTCTCTCTTTGTGGAGAAACATAGAACAGAAATACTCTGTACAAAGACCAAACTTGATAAGTTACTGTATGAGTGCAGAGAGAGAAAACCTTGTGGTTATCTTCCTAAGATTACCACAGTATTTGGCCTCCTTTTGAGCTGTGGTTTGAGAGACAGCTGAAACGCTGTGGTCTGTTTTTGAACCACATCGTCAGAAAAACAATCTCTTATCTACACACCATAATTTTCCATAAAACATGTTATCATGGCCCCAGAAAAGGTACTGTCCCATTGCAGGACAGAAAACAGAAAACCCACTGGATTCGTACCTATAACACTTTTGGCAAAGGATGCGCGTTTGAGAGTGGCCAGTCCCAGGTCTCCAATCTTGACAGACCCTGTGGGGCCTGTGATGAAAATGTTGTCACATTTAAGGTCTCTGTGGATGATTGGAGGAGCCCGAGTGTGAAGAAAGTGGAGGCCCTTCAGGATTTGTCTACACCAGCTCCGCAGCACTTTAATTTTCATCACTTTGAACCGCTTCAGATATCTACAGGAAAGCAGATCATATTATTCACTAGGGTAGAATTTCAAACTCTATACGATTACATCGATTTACAAATACTACAGGAGAAAAAGATGACAAAAAATTACGTTTTTTAAAATACGATTAGAAAACCACATACTGCTTTGTTTCCGGTGACATGTACACATTTCAATTGCTAATCATATAATGTTGGTAAGGTAGGCCGATAAAGTTTCCTTCTACTTGCTGATAGCATACTTTCAGCTTAAAAATTGGGCTTTTTCTTGAGAGAAAAAACACTTTAATAAAAAAAGAATTGGTTATCCTGTGAAATTAACAGTCTGTTAATGTTACACACATGCTGGACTGATAATGTTTTCACATTAATGTATCAGCTGCTAACTACATTGCTTCTGTGGTTATCGGCTAATTTCTAGTAGTTAAAAAGCTAACACTGACATGCGGACCAGCCAAGTTAAAATTTATGAATATATAATGATTTAATACTTCAGTGTCAACTACCAATCATGTGTATTCAGCTGCAAGTTGTTCAGAATGCAACTGCAAGGCTTGTAACTAAGTCTTCTAAGTTCTATGTCACTTGCACTGGCTCCACATCAACTTCAGAGTCCACTTTAAGATTATGGTTTTGAGGTTTTTTGTTTTGCTTTTTACATCTGAACTTTTACATCTGTACATCAACAGTAAGTCAAAACAAGATGAACCCATCCTATTACAGTGTGTATACTGAATATGCCCTGCATCTACAAATTCCCTGCCACCGTAACTCACGTTTTGAGTGTGCCAGAAGTCATGAGCTCCGTGACCAACACAATGCACTTCCTGCCTTTGGAGGGTCCTTCCCAGGAGTCGTAAAAGCGAACAATGTTGGGATGTTGTAGTCCCTTTAACATGCCAGCCTCCTCCTTAAAACGCTGCCGTTCCGACTTCGAAAGCTTACGATCCTACAAGGGATGAAAAAGGAAGATTTCACTCAGTGAGTGCAGCACCATTTATACAGATGCACATGTAATTCGGAAGAAAAAAATTGCAATGTACAGTGTGGTAATAAAAAAAAATCATCATTAGGAACACCTGAACTCTACATCTGTTCTTTAGTATCTGAATTCACCCATTCCTACAAAGGTTAAGGAGCTTGGAGCTTCTAAGCTGGATGAATGAAAACCTACAAAGACACATTCATACAAAGTATTTCTTAATCCACTAGCAGTTTAACTAAGAAAAGGTTTTCAAGATGCTTTTAGTTTTTCAAAAATTTCACATATGCTTTGATAAAAGAGGGGCAGGGATAGCTCAGTAGGTAGAGTGGTGGCCCCATGATCGGAAGGTCGGTGGTTCAAATCAACTGAACGGGTACCCCTGAGCAAGGTACTGTCCCTACACACTGCTCCCCGTGCACCCAATGGCTGCCCACTGCTTCACTGAGTGAATGGGTTAAATGCAGAGAGGAATTTCCCCAAGGGGATCAATAAAGTATATATTCTTCTTCTTCTAAAAGGAAAGATACAGTAGGATATAGGAATGTGGCTGTCTGTTTTCTATTGAAGATGACTGCATACTAAAAAAAAAAAAAAACACGCACCCAACTCTGTTTGCCCTTGGGTAAAGAAAAACAAAATGCTAGAAGAGCCAGTGCTCAGTAAGAAATATGGGATATCAGCACATTGAAGACAATCATGTCAAAGAAATAATGCATCAAGCCTGGCTAAAAAAATTTTTTTTAAAATACACTTTAAAAATACACAGTTAAAGTAAAAACCTTGTAACTAAAGATTTAAGACAGATAGTGGCATTTAATTTACTTTAGCCCAGGGCTCCTGTTACATTAATTGAATGGCCCAAAATAACAGGGAAATTTAAAAAACAAACAAACAAAAAAACAAACAAACCCAAAACATTACGTCAAGTATAAGAAAACAATCTGTACTCATGTGCAGAGTCATCTTTTTTGAGCAAGAAAACCCCTATACCACCACTGTCAAATCGTGTTAACACGATCAATATACATGATTCCATGTTATGGTTTCAGATTTTCACTGCCACACATCCAAAGATGAGAGTAACTATGGTAATTTAGTCAGTAAGACAATTTAAAACGTGAACAATCACA